CAACTGTATTTGAAAGCAAAGGGGAAAAGTAATTTTTGTTTAAATTAGTTATTATAGTCCGCAATCTGAAAGTTAGAATAAATTGTGGTCAGATACAGTTTAGATTATCACTAGTAGAAAAATAAGGAGCCAAAGCTATAGTAAAGAGCATTTGCCTTGCACAAGGCTGATCTGATTCAATCCCAAGACCCCGAACCCCCAAATAAATAAATAAATAAATAAATAATGCAAACTACATACAGAAGTTTAAGTAAAAATAATAAGGTAAAAATTTTAACCTGATAATGCAAAATATAATTTCAACTAACAATGAATACAAAATTAATTACATGCACATTGTTTACCAAGTCTTTGAAATACTTTGTATACTGAACACATCTTAATTCAATGACAAATCTTTTGTCACAAATATACTACTTATGTTCAGATTTCAAAACATTTACACTGGAAAAATGTAGTTGTATAAAGCAAGTTTTCCAAATAAAACAAAGTCATTGGATTAGGTATCATATCTCAATTAAATTAAATATAATTAAAACTCATCGATTTGCTCAAGCGGGCCCAATAACGTCTCCATTGTGAGATTTCTTGTTACTGTGTTTGGCATACTGAATACTCTCGGTAGCTTGCCAGGCTCTCTGAGAGGGGCGGAGGAATCGAACCTGGCTCGGCCAGGCTGGTTGCATGCAAGGCAAACGCCCTACCGCTGTGCTGCCTTACAAGCGGCCAACATGGCCGACCCGAGTTCGATTCCTCCACCCCTCTCGGAGAGCCCGGCAAGCTACCAAGAGTATCTCGCCCACACGGCAGAGCCTGGCAAGCTCCCCGTGTGACACATTCGATATGCCAAACACAGTAACAACAAGTCTCATGATGGAGACGTCACTGGGCTCGCTCGAGCAAATCGATAAACAACCGGAGGACCGTGCTTATAATTAAAACTCAGGCAGTTATTTAGTCACATTTCTTTTTCCTGTGTTTTGAGGGACTTTTTTGCCCCAAGGGCAGGGGTTTGGGGTGGAGTGGTGGTTTGGGGTGTCCTCAGGGGTTACTCCTGGCTCTGTGCTCAGATCACTCCTGGCAGGGAGAGGGTGGGTGGGTGGAGGAATCATGAGTGGCATGGAAAATCAAACCCAAGGTGGTTGTGTAGCAGGCAAGTGCCTTACCTGCTTTGCTATCTCAAGGCCTGTTCTACTCACATTCGAGGGTTCACTGGGCCAGTGGCTATGGTTACAGAGGAAGTAGGTTTTAGTGCTGTTGGGTTAATTCTCTAGCCTGAAATTAATACTAGCCAAAAAAGCCAGTGAACAATGTGGTTGTTAATGGAATACTAATATTAGGTACTTGGACTATTTATTATACTTAATCTCTCTCTTGATGAGATTAAGTCACATGCAGTCACAAAACATATAGCCAAGAAAAAAATAATGGGGTATCTGCCAAAAAGCTTGTACTCGGTTAACTGAAATTAACTGGAATAAGTTGAGAGTTTATATGAAAGCAGAGGGTTCATGATACTTACTGGCTTCTTCTAAGCCATATTATTATTACTGAAGTAATGCAGGCAGTGAGCATACTCTGAAACAGAAAGTTTCTGGAGGTGAACAGTTCTTCTCTTGTCTTCTCTCCACACTCACCCAGAAGTCATCACACACAAAGCGCCGAAGTATATTATTTCAGTTCCCAAAGATTTCCAAAAAATAACAACTCACGTTTTTTTCTACTTAAGCCAAAGGATATAGACATACTTCTTGGACAAATATATAACAAAATCCCTGAAATTCCAATTATCATTGCATTAAGACTCCTGCGTAGAATATGTGTTAATTAAATCACATCCAAGTGTGAGCCACTAGAGATACATGCTGGTGTCAGCAAGCATAAAAACCCATTTCAGGACTTGGGGGGCTAACTCGGTGAGAATTCTTTGCAGTTCAAACCCCAGCACATGCACCCCCAAGCACCATCCTACATGACCTAAGTGACCAGTAGTATTTCCCTGGTCGCACTTGCGGGCCCACCTGTGGAACTGTCCTGAGCAGGGATGATCTGAGTATCAGAATGAGCGCTCCCAGGGCACTCAATACCTACTTCAGAGACTCAAACACCTAGGAATGTTTTTGAAGCATCTATTTCGTTGGTCCTTCATGTGCTATGAAAGCTCTTTCAGGGATACCCATGGGAGGATTCTCCACTGACTGGAAATACTTCAGGATCTGTTTCCCAAGCCCTTGGACTGCAGCGCTCTAACCTGGCCACTCACTGTGAGATCAGCAGCAGTGGGGATGGCCCCACTGACCAAATGGAAGCCCAGGGCACCCAGGTCTGCCCCGTCTTGTGGTCATACAGAGGACGGTCACTGGGGTGAACCTCAGGTTTAGCAGTGTGTTTAGCAGGGCCCATCTCTGATCTGAAAAATCGGAGGGGCCACTCAGAAATAAGAAGACAGCTCCCTTAACAATCAACGTTCAGCAGGAACCCAGGGAGGGCAGGACAGAGGCAGAAGGGTCTTTCCCAGTGCTCAGGGCCACCCTTAGATGTAGGGCTGGAAAATCAGGGGGCCAAGGGCAGAGGGCAAGCGGCAGGACTACTTGCAGTCCACCACAGAGGTTCGGTCCTGGACTCAAGGGGGTCTAGGAGACTGCCGGGGGCCATCAGGAGGCTCCCCCAGGGCTCCTTGAGTCATCAGAAGCCTACAGAGAAGCGGGTTCCACCTGCAGCCCTGCAGTCTTGGGTCAGAGGAAGTGATGTAGGCAGGCAGACAGATAGGGAAAGCCCCCTCCCCAGGCAATGGGAGTAAATTTCCTGGGAAGTAATAACTCTGAAGTTGCAAAAGGCCAACCTTGCAGAAAACAGGAATTAAGGCCAGATGAGACCCTCACCTGGCACCAGCAACAGAGAAGTTTCTGCAGAAACAAAAGGCCAGGAAGAGAATTTCAAAGAAGACCATTACCACTTCCAACCCTACTGCCCTTGGCAACGTTCTTAAAAACAGACCTTGACCTAGGTAGAAGCCCCACTTGAGGGCAGGTTGGAGAAACCCTATAAAGGCCACCTTGAGCAAAGGAAAGACATGTATATGTTTGCTGCCTGAGCCCATGTGCTATTTGTGCCCACATGGCCACGCACATGTGGCGCCCACATCTCCCCTCTTATTTATTTATATATTTATTTATTTATTTTTGCTTTTTGGGTCGCACCCAGCGATGCACAAGGGGTTACTCCTGGCTCTTCACTCAGGAATTACTCCTGGCGGTGCTCGGGGGAACATATGGGATGCTTTGAATCGAACCCGGGTTGGTCGCGTGCAAGGTAAATGCCCTACCTGCTTGCTATCGCTCCAGCCCCTCCCCTCTTGAGATGTGTACTATCATGCTTTCATGCCTAATGCTGGGTTGTATGTAGGGACTGTCTCAGCCCTTGGAGAAGCCCAGGTTCTCTCTTGAGCACGATACCCTCCACTCTCTCCCACTTTCTCTTCCTCCTTCCCTTCAAAACCTCCAAATAAAATGTTTTACTTTACTGTTTGTCTACTCCTGAAATTTCCTTATTCGAGGGTGACATCGGTGGGTCCCTCGGGTGACTTATGTAAAGTGGGAGGAGAAAGACGGTCACCTTCTCCCTATCCACCTCTGTCACTTGGGATGCAGGGTTACTGGGTTCTTTTCGCGCCTTGCAGAAAGGAATTTCAGGAGTAGACAAGCAATGAAGTAAATAGATTTTACTTGGAGGGTTTTTTAAGTGGAGGGGAGAGAGTGTGAAAGAGAGTAATGAGCTCAAGAGAGAACGCAGGCTTCTCCAGGGTGGAGAGAGCCCCTACAGCATTAGACACGAAAGCATGAAAGTGCACAACTAAAGAGGGGAGATGCAGGCAACATGTGCTCAGGCACCACATGTGCTTGGTCACATGGGTGCAAGCAGCACATGGGTTCAGGCAGCACATATGCGCCCTTACTTTGCTGATGGTGGCCTTTATAGGGTTTTTCCAACCTGTCCCCCTAGGTAAAAGGCCGTTGCTAGGGAGGTTGCCAAGGGGGTTGGGAGTGATTGATGATCTTCTTTGGGCTGAATCACTTAAATTGGGGTATTTGAGGAATTTCCTTCATGGGGAGTTGTCCAATCTCTTCAGGACCTGCTGCTCAAGGTCTTCTCTGTATCCACAAAGTGGATCAGCCTTGGAATTTTCCTCCCAGAAGTGTTGTTGACCAAGTTTCATTGTCCAGGACCTTTCCCTATCTACCTGCCTACATCATGGGGACACAAGAAACCAGTAATTCTGGGTCCCGGATGGCAGAGGTGGATGGTGAGAAAGTGTCCATCTTTCTCCTCCCCGGTTCACATAAGTCACTCGTGGGGCCCACGGACATCAGAACGATCCTGCCAGAGGGCAGAGAGGAGGGCGATTGGGGACCAGCAGAACCTGGTAGGGACAAGAAATAAGTGACGCCCAGGTCAGGGCTGAAACAGGAACCCAGCCAGGGTTCTAAGGAGGCTGCCGGGGATGCCCAGCAGGGCCAGCTAGGGGGGCAGGAGGTGGCTCGGGGTTAGAAACCAGCTCGGGCCACGCAAAGCTCCTATTTCCGCTTTGTCCTTTTCACAGGTGAGGGTCAAGGACAGAAGTTAGGAGATGGCGCGGCCAGTGTCCCAATCCCGCAGCTCAGCGCAGCTGCCGATCGCCTAGGGCCAATGCAGTCCCAGAGCTCGCTTGAATGACAGCGCCGCAAGCCAAAGATGGGGCGCAGCGAGGCCAGGCCACAAGCGCAGGGGCGGGACTCCAGAGTACTAACCCGGAACCGGTTTGGGCCCCGAGTCCCATTGTGAGTCCAGACCTGGGGCGGGCGCGCCGGCCGCACGAAAACGGTCTAAGCCAATGCGCGTGTCCTCTCCGATGAGCGGCAGCTACCCCAGCCAATGGGAGGTGGGGATGGGGGAGCGGCGCGGCTGGTGGGCGGGAGCCGGTGTAGCATCTTTCTCTCCGGACTCCGGGGAGGCGAGTGCGAAGGGCCGTCGCCGGCGCCGCAGGTGAGCCTTTCTGCGTCCGCGGGGGCCGCGCCGGTGCCTGTCCGGCCGCTGTGGGCTCTGCGGCGCGCCGGAGCATGTGCTGTGGGGGGGCGGGCCCGACCCCCACCCCGGCCGGACACCCCGACCTGGACGCCCCCGGCCCCCTCCAAGGCGCCTCGACTCCCGCCCGGGCCCCCACCAGAACCCGCGTCTCTTCCGGGGCAGCGTTGGGGCCGCTCACCTGGCGCAGGTGTCCAGGCGCACCTGTTCCGCCCGGGATGGAACGGAAATTGCGACGACCTAATAAATCTACGACCCCCTCTCCCCCCTGCATCCCCCAACACACACGCACACGCACGCACACATCACACACCCCAACACACAAAAAACAAACACACACATACCCGGCAAACACACATACGGAGGTGGCTGCTTCTTGAACTACCTGATAAATCTACACCCTCCCCCCCATCCCCCAACACACACACACACACACACACACCCCTGGAATATACTGCCTGATTCCCCGACACACAGACACACACACACACACACCCCTGGAATATACTGCCAGTTTCCCCAACACACACGCACACACATGCATACATCACAGACAACCAACACACACGGAGCCTGGTGCTTCTTGAACGACCTAATAAATCTACATGCCCCCCATCCCCCAACACAGACACACACACACACACACACACCCCTCCCCTGGAATTTACACACACACACACACACACACACACACACACACACACACACACCCCTCCCCTGGAATTTACTGCCTGATTTTTGAACGACCTAATCTACATCCACCCCAGCCTCCCAACACACACGCACACCTGGAATTTACTGCTTGATTTTTGTTATTCTGTCTCATCACTCTTTAGGAACTTCTCGAGGGAGAATAAGTCCTTGGGGGTCTAGTTCCAGTATGCCATCAGCAGGACACTCATCACAAAGGTTGATGTAAGTGAACTCAGTGATACCAGTCTCCACCTGTGAAGGACAATTGTGAGTGGGATTTTGGGAGAAGTGAATGCCCTGCCTAGGATCCCTGTTTCAGTGACATCAAGGGATGACATCAAGTGAAAAGGATAGATTTTGACCTCTGGAATGATTGACTCTTCTTTGCATTTTGTGGAGTTCTGTTCCCTGCATGAGAATATGTATGCCTGCATATAGGAGGAAATCGATAGATACTGAAGCAGTTATCTGGTGTTGGGTGACAGAATCCACAAACTGTGAGCACTAAAAAGTAAAGAGAACAGAAAAACAGTCTTGGAACCATTACTTAACCCCAGTGGGTACAAGAATAGCTGCCAAATTTTAACTCAAAATACGCTGATGCTTTCCGAAATTAATCAGATGATGTCTGTCTAAAGTCATTTATATACATTGAAACCATGGCTGATGGGAAATTTAATAATTGAGCAATTTAGTAATTGACTGTAATTACTCTATATCATTGTCACCTAGCTTAAAATGTGTATTAAAGTGCATTTTGTCAATGAAATTGCTGGGCAGGTTTAGCAGATAGCGCTCAGGGCCAAACAGTCAAGCACCTTTTAGATAAACACTATTGGGAAAACATAGGCCCAATAAAGCGTTACTGCTGCCAGAGATTCAACAACAGTGACTCAGGCCTAAATTTAAAGTATTGTTCCTTTTGCCTGTGCCAGTTGATCTATTACAGTCAATTACTAAATTGCTCTTCGATTCTAAGAGCAGCAAAATGTACCGATGAATATTTGTATAAATCAGGACTCTTGACAACTATAGTCATTGTTTATTATTTTATATACTGCCTTTATATATTAGTGTTAACAGTAACTTTGCCCATTTGTAAAAGGTAAGGGTTTTTAACATTCTGTGAAGTTTCACAGGTATGCTTCGTTTCTGAGAAACAAAGCATACAGCCTCTGTTTTTTGGTGAACTGGCAAAGTATCAGGTTGTCCTAAGCTGATATGAAAGATTTGCTGGCATTTGGCCCTAGCCTCATTTGGCAGTTTTATAGGGATCCCTTCAGAAGTGATGGGAGACTGAGAACCCTGCCCAGGGATGCTCACCACAGCAGCCAGCCCCAGAGCACGCACTCAAGTCTGCATCTTGCTGGTGGGCCTTACATTTTTGTTGAATAAGGAGTTATATTTTAATTAATAAGGAATATTCATGATGCATACTCTAAGTTCAGTACTAATTCTTTTTTTTTGAGGTTTTTTTGTTTGTTTGTTTTTGTTTTGGGGATACATTGAGGGGTGCTGAGAGCTTACCCCCTGACTCAGGGATCACTCCTGGCAGATGCTCAGGAGACCATATGGGATGCTAGCATCAAACCCAGGTTGGCAGCATGCAAGGCAAATGCCCTATTCGGTGTACTATGGCTCCAGCTACTCATTACTAATTCTTTTCAATGAACATGCACAGATATATAAACACATTCTCCTTTTACAAATGTTTGGTACTTGGTGAGAGCTATTCATTTCTTTAGTTTAAATTGACTATGTTTGCATTCCTTTGGTGTGTTTTGAACAAGTCAGGAGTGTGAGTTCTTATATTTAGGCATATTCTTCCATCATGCATATATTCTATGATATATTTTTCATAAAAGAAAAACCACAGTTTTGTTCCTATTGTAAATGCCTTTTAAGAAAGTGCTAGGGCACAGAGGGTTAGGATGGCCCTTGGGCCATCCTAGTGGTACTCAGAAGCTATTACTGAGTCTGCGCTAAGAAGTGTCCCCTTGTGCTTGGGGGATCATAATGCAGTGCCCTGGACTGAACTATTTATTTATTTATTTATTTATTTATATATTTTTTTATTAGTGAAACACCATGAGGTATGGTTGTAGATTTACAATTCTTTGTGCTTGGGTTTGATTCTACAATGATCAGATACCCATCCCTCCACCAGTGCCCATTTTCCACCACCATGGATAATATCCCCCCCACCCCCATCCCCCCATCCCCCCTGCATCTGTGGCAGGGCAATCCCCTGTGTTCTCTCTCTCCTTTTGGGTGTTGTGGTCTGCAAAAGAGGCATTGAGTGGCAAACATGTTCAGTCCATAGTCCACTTTCGACATGCATCTCCCCTCCTGGGAGGATCCTCCAAACACCCTTTATTTGGTGTTCCCTTCTCTGTCTGAGCTGCCCTTTCCTCTAGAATGCCCGACTGGCCACTAAGCTATGGAGTGATCCTCCTGGTGATCTCAGCTATTCTTGGGTATTAATCTCATATTTTGTTACTTTATGTCCCCCAGATGAATGCAATCTTTCTATGTCTATCCCTCTCTTTCTGACTCATTTCACTTAGCATGATACTTTCCATGTTGTACCACTTGTATGTAAATTTCATGACTTCGTCTTTTCTAACAGCTACATAGTACTCCATTGTGTAGATGTATCAAAGTTTCTTTAACCAGTCATCTGTTCTTGGACATTCAGGTTTCTTCCAGTTTCTGGCTATTGTAAAGAGTGCTGCAATGAACAAACAAGTGCAGATGTCACTTCGACTATACATTTTTGCCTCTCTGGGATATATTCCCAGGAGTGGTATTGCTGGGTCAAATGGGAGCTCAATTTCTAATTTTTTGAGAATCGTCCATACTGTTTTCCAGAAGGGCTGAACCAGTGGACATTCCCACCAACAGTGAAGGAGTGTCCCTTTCTCGCCACATCCACACCAGCATCGGTTGCTTTTGTTCTTTTGAATGTGGGCCAGTCTCTGAGGTGTGAGATGGTATCTCATTGTGGTTTTGATCTGCATCTCCCTGATGATTAATGATATAGAGCATTTTCTCATGTGCTTTTTTGCCATTCGGATTTCTTCTTTGAGAAAGTTTCTGTTCATTTCATGCCCCAGTTTTGGATGGGGTTGGATGTTTTCTTCTTGTGGAGTTTAACCAGTATTTTGTATATCCTGGATATCAACCCCTTGTCAGATGTGTATTCGGCGAATATCCTTTCCCATTCTGTAGACTGTCTTTGTATTTTGATCACTGTTTCTTTGGAGGTGCAGAAGCTGGACTGAACTATTTAAACTGGGGTCAGCCACATGCAGACAGGGAACGTATGTTTCCTGCACACTCTCTGGCACCATATTGTAAATTTTGTGGCATTTAAAGCCGTGTGTGTGTGTGTGTGTGTGTGTGTGTGTGTGTGTGTGTGTTTTTCCAGGGATTGAATCCGGAGCCTCACTCATCTGAGGAAGTTGCTCTTTAGTTGAACCGCATCCCAGTCCATAATTAACCCATAATTAATTGGTCCCTGTTTGCCTTTGGCCTTTTCAGTGGTGCCCTAAGGGACAACTTTTATGTTGCCCTGATTTTGTAGCCCATCTTCTCAGTGTTCCTCTAAAGTAGTTTTATGTTCTTTTAAATCTCAATTGAGTATTTTAGCAAGGTGACTCATTCATTCAAAACGTATGTTTGCTGGTGAGGAACCTTGCAGCCGCCACAAGAGCTGGGCTGCGTGGTCTTTGGAAGGGTATTTTGAAAAGGCTGGATGTTGGGTTGAAGGCACTGCACGCACACACTGCAGACTGATTCTCACTTTTCTTCTCTTTAGGAATTATCCAGCCTGCCTGTGCTGCTAGAAGAACGGGAAACAGATGTAAACAAAGTGCCAGCAGAAATTTATCTGTGATTTTTGTACTCGATAGCATTCCTCAGATTCTTTCCACATCTTCTCTTAAAGCAAAAAAAAAAAAAAAAAACTGCACTTAAATTAGAAAAATGAAGCAGTTGAAAAGAAAAAGAAAAAGCAATTTTAGTGTTCAGGAAACTCAGACTCTCTTGAAAGAAATTACGAAAAGGAAAGAAGTCATTTTTTCCAAGCAACTCAATACAACAATTAATGTGATGAAACGAATGGCCTGGGAGGAGATTGCGCAGTGTGTGAATGCAGTAGGTGAAGGGGAGCAGAGGACCGGGACAGAAGTGAAAAGGAGATACCTGGACTGGCGTGCCCTGATGAAGAGAAAGAGGATGAAGGCAAACATTAAGCTAGTTGGTTCAGGGTTTCCCCTTCCCACGTCCGATTTAGATGACTCTCTCACGGAAGACATAGATGAAAAGATCGCCTTTCGAAATGATGCGAATTTTGATTGGCAGAATGTGGCAGATTTCAGGGATGCAAGTGGATCCTTAACAGAGGTCAAAGTTGAAGAAGAAGAAAGAGATCCCCAGAGTCCTGAAGTAAGTACTAGCCTGCCCACCCGCAGGCCCTCTTCTTTTTGTTGACGCAGTTCTACTATTGGAGTTTATTATGGTTTAGGAAAAGTTCCAGAGTTTCCCCATTTTCAAGCCCCCCTTTAAAAAGCATGCACCAGAGCCTTTCCAAATTCATTCATCCGTTCCATGTGTCAGTACACAAAATATACATTAGTCACATCAGGTTCATTAGTATAAATAACCTTTAAAATTGGAAGCAAATGTTTCTGTGCGCTCCAGCAGTAAGGCAGCAAGCACTGGAGAACCACAGACAAACCATGAGGCAGAAATACCAGCAGTGTGGTGGGAATGCCCACTAGTCCAGCCTTTGTGGAAAACAATATGGACAGTCCTTCAAAAACTAGAAATTGAGCTTCCATATGACCCCACAATACCACTTCCGGGAATATATCCTGAAGATGCAAAAAAGCACAGTAGAAATGACATCTGTACCTATATGTTCATTGCAGCACTGTTCACAATAGCCAAAATCTGGAAACAACCCGAGTGCCCTAGAACAGATGACTGGTTAAAGAAACTTTGGTACATCTACACAATGGAATACTATGCAGCTGTCAGGAGAGATGAAGTCATGAACTTTGCTTATAAATGGATAGACATGGAGAGTATCATGCTAAGTGAAATGAGTCAGAAAGAGAGGGACAGACATAGAATAGAAGGACTGCACTCATTTGTGGAGTATAAAACATAACATGAGGCTGATACCTAAGGATAGTAGATACATGGGACAGGTAGATTGCTGGAAGCCTGCCTCATGAGCAAAGGGGGAAGGCAGCTGGAATAGAGAAGGGATCACTAAGAAAATGATGGCTGGAGAGATCAGGCAGGATGGGAGATGTGTGCAGAAGTAGATAAAGGATCAAACATGATAACCTCTCAGTGTCTGTATTGCAAACCATAATGCCCCAAAGTAGAGATTGTGGGGAAAATTGTCTGCCTCCACAACAGTCACTTTTTCTCACTTCCAGTTCGAGATCGAGGAAGAGGAAGAAATGCTCTCAGCAGTCATCCCAGATTCCCGGCGAGAACCCGAGCTGCCCGACTTCCCCCACATCGATGAGTTCTTCACGCTCAACTCCACGCCCTCCCGCTCGGCCTACGATGAGCCACACCTGCTGGTCAGCATCGAGAAGCAGAAACTGGAGCTGGAGAAGCGGCGGCTGGACATCGAGGCCGAGCGGCTGCAGGTGGAGAAGGAGCGGCTGCAGATAGAGAAGGAGCGGCTGCGCCACCTGGACCTGGAGCATGAGCGCCTGCAGCTGGCCAAGGAGCGGCTGCAGATCGAGCGGGAGAAGCTGCGGCTGCAGCTTCTGGGGGCCGAGAAGCCGCTGGTCGAGAGCGAGCCGGGCCTGGGGGACAAGGCGCCGCTCCCGCCGCAGGACGTGGAAGCCGAGAAGCTGAGGCTGGAGCGCGAGCGCCTGCAGCTGGAGAAGGAGCGGCTGCAGTTCCTGAAATTCGAGTCGGAGAAGCTGCAGATCGAGAAGGAGCGCTTGCAAGTGGAGAAGGAGAGACTCCGCATTCAGAAGGAGGGACACTTGCAGTGACCCGGCCAGGCGCCAGGGAGCCAGTGTTCGCTAGCCAGCCAGCCAGCCAGTCAGCCAGCCAGCCAGGCTTTGCTCAGTGTCTGATTAGATAAAAGCCAGGCACAGGATTAGCTTTTTATTTTGATTTTATTTCCCTCCCCAGTCTCTGTCTAATGTCAGTGTGTTCAGTAGGAGAAAGGTAGTTCTAAGTGGGTAACTGTATACATAAGGAACATACTACGTAAAACTGTGCCCTGGCACAAACGGTATAGCAGAATCTATTGTTCTATACTCTTTAAATGAGTAATATTACGGTCTTGTGTATCCCGTGCACTCAGAGTTTACAGTGATTTTAAAAAATTGCTCACTGTTTCTGAACTTAACCCCAGAAAACAGTGGCCAGTGTCTGGAGACATTTTTGTTGGTCAAAACTGGGAAGTGGGTGAGTGGCTGCTGGCACACAGTGGGGAGAGGGCAGGAATGCACCCACTCAGTGCACAGGACAGCCCCACAACAAAGAATTCCCCAACCCAAAACGTCAGCACTACTGACGCACAGAGCCTTAGCCTGGCTACACCTCCATAGCTCTGCTTTCTAATTTCAGGATATTTAAACCTCAGATGTTTATAAAGAGAGTTGTTATGTACATGGCCAAAAAATTAACTAGGAAACATTACATTGTAGCAAGTAATATAGAAAGTGGTGAAGATGATTGGTATTTTATTCCAGTGTGTCCACTAACAAGATTCAGGAAACTGCTGGAAATGTCACACTGTCTGAAATGGATTGTTTTGCAGAGCAGTTCGTTTAGCTAGTAAATCTTTGGAAGCAGTGTGCAAGTTTTAAGCTTTAGTTCCCTGTCTTTGAATCCATCATTTTAGTTTAGACAAAAATTTTCATTTCAGCCATGTACTGAAATATTCTTTAAGTGCATGGTTAAAACTAGCAAAAATGGTACCACTATAAACAGGGCACTGATAGTTCAGGAGCTTGAACAAGAGTGGTTATTTGATTTTTAAAACAAGTAGTAGCTGTGTGGGAGTGGGGTGGGGGTAGAATGTTGCTCTGTATCCGATGATGAGGAACTAATGATCGTAGTTGTGTATTATGAATTAGGGAAGCACTTATCACACTATCTGTCCTAATCTGTAGAGCAGTTCTTGAGAGTAGTAGCTCTTAGGAGTCTCAAGTCTGAGGCTCAATGAAGTCACGCAATTAGTAAATGGCCGATCTCATATATCTTGATTGATTTGTCTTTGCCCCTCCTTGAGAAAGTTTTAATTTTCTATCCCTTTGGCATTTGTTTTGAGACAAAGGGCTTGCTGAATCTGTTGATTTGCCTTCAGTCCCTGGAAGGAGCTTTGCCCACAATTCAGGGGATTCTCAAGCATACTAAAGACTCACTGCACAAGATCACTTTCTGTCTTCTGATTTCCAGGGCTGATAACGTAGCTTTAATACATCAATTGATCGATACTACCTTGATTCCACATTTGTTTGTTTTTGATCTTAAAATATCTTAAATCCATATATGATATTTGAGTATGGGCATACAAGGAAAAAAATATACTTCTGCTTAGTTACCTTGAATACCTTGAATAGTGTTATTTTTCTATAACTGAAATAAATGCTTCTACTGTAGAAATAAAAAAAAAAGCCTATCCTGTCTGAAAGATTATTTCAATTGGTGGTCAGTGTGTTGATGATTGATATTAGAAAGCCTGACCTTGGGGCTGGAGCCATAGCACAGTGGATAGGGTGTTTGCCTTACATGTGGCCGACCCGGGTTCAATTCCCAGCATCCCACATGGTCCTCCGAGCACTGCCAGGAGTAATTCCTGAGTGCATGAGCCAGGAATAACCCCTATGCATCACTGGTGTGACCCAAAAAGAAAAAAAAATGAGGACAGGACGTAGTAACCGTGCTAGGCACCAACAGCTTTGCTCGGCTCTATTCTACATGCATTACTTGCCCTCCAAACAACCCCAAGGGTAGTCATGTCATCCCTGCTTTTATTTGGGGGGAAGAGGAAGCAGGAACATACCTGGCTGCCCTTAGGGCTTACTCCTGGCTTTGTGCTCAGGGATCACTCCTGGCAGTGCTCAGGAGACGATGTACAGTGCCGATGATCAAGTCAGAGGCATGTAAGACAAATGCTTACCCACTGTAAATCTACCCCCCCCCCCCATCCCTACTTTAATAAATACTTGGGAAATATGTTGCCAAGATTTTAGCCCAAGAACTCTAAGGTGATTGTAGGTGTTAAATGTAGCTTTGCCACTTTGCATTTTAGTCATTTAACTTTCCCAGTAACTTGACATCCTGTTTGTAGAGTGGGCCTCCAGATCTTTGGGTGAAGGGCTTGAGGTCCCTTCCCCTGCCTCAGGGTGTAGATGGGTTGGTTGGTTCACTTTGCCACATTGAGTAGTGCAGTGCCTGGCAGGGAGATGGAACAGAGGAGGAGGTGGGGCCTTGACCTCATTTAACTGCTGTAGCATTGACTCCTGGATGAATGCTGAATTTTCAAACTTACATATCAATAAATTGCTCCACGTTGGGCTGGAGCGATAGCACAGAGGTAGGGCGTTCGCCTTACAAGCGGCCAACATGGCCGACCCGAGTTCGATTCCTCCGCCCCTCTCGGAGAGCCCAGCAAGCTACCGAGAGTATTCGATATGCCAGACACAGTAACAACAAAGTCTCCAATGGAGACGTTACTGGGCCCGCTCGAGCAAATCGACGATCAACGGGAGGGCCTTTACCTTTACCTTTACCTGTTCCATCAAAGGTGCTGTACTCATCAGTCATAGCACTGTGGCACTGTCCTTCCACTGTTCATCAATTTCCTCGAGCGGGCACCAGTAACGTCTCCATTGTGAGACTTGTTACTGTTTTTGGCATATCGAATATGCCACGGGATCTTGCCAGGCTCTGCTGTGTGGGCAGGATACTCTTCAACTTTTCCATACATTTGAAAATTTACTAACGATTAACTTGAGTATTATGTCTCATTAGTTACCAGTAACTTTCAAAAACAGAAAAAGATTACGACAAAAGCTGTTTTCCTCTCAAGATTATCTATTTCTGAGAGAATAAAGAATACCATATTACAATGAAGAGACTTTTCAACACCATTCATATCCAGACACTCAAAATTTATGTGAGTACATAAAATCAAAGTACAGACAGTCCAGTGAGTAACCATATTTATATAAATGGCTCAGCACCTCTAATGCAAATCCTTATTCTGAGTTTTCAATGTTGATGTACTGCCAACTTTGTTTTCTTTTAATGTAAACAACTCATAACCACAGTATTATATTAACACTATTTCCTGATTTTCTGTGGTTAGGTTAGTTTATTTTTCAAGGCCAGGGATGATGTGCTATCACTTCTACTACTGTCTTCTCTATGTTTCTGATGCTCTGACCTGTGTTTCTCTCTGACTTCTGAAAGACTGCTCTGCCTACGACCCAGCTCCAGCTCGGCCAGGCCTGGGACATGCCCTTTCATATCAAACAAGCCACCAGACGGTATCCCCCCCACCACACCCTTTTTCAAACACACCAAACTGCTACATTTTCCAAATTTGTTTTTGGTTTTGGGCCACACCTGGCTGTGCTCAGGGATCATTCCTGGTGGGGCTCAGGTGACCATTTGGGGTGCCAGGGATCGAATGTGGTTCAGCTGCGTGTAAGGCAGTGCCCTCTTTACTGTCGCTACAGCAACTCAGGGCCAGGGACCAGGCACTGGAGACTAGTGAAAGAGCTGAGAAAATTGACCCTGTGCAATTTTACTTTAGGCACCAAGACTTAAAATACTGACAATGGCAGGATCTCATGCATAAAATGTTCCAGCACCACGCCCTCCACAGCAGTCCTTCCTCAGTGGTAAGCATCTTACTAATGATCCTGTTTAACGGTCCATCCCCCACTGGCCCTGGCTGCCCTGCTCTGGCTTTCACAGGAAAGCTCAAAAGTGGTCCTGGCCTAACTGTTTTGCGGACTCTTGTTTATACTCTCCCAGATCCACACTGGCCACTTCCCCCTGCCCTGCATGGCACAGCATGCGTCCTTTGGGGGAACTGTAGTGAAGATCTCTCAATGCTTTTGACCTTTGTCACTTAATATTACTTCAAACAATTAGATCTTAGGTAGAATTTTGGGAAGTTTCTCTAAGATGTTGGGGGGTTAAGATTTTGGTGTTGTGGTTCCCGAAATTTAAGACTAAGAGAATACTGAGGGGAACTTGTAGACTTTAAATATAAATTAGGTCCAGAGATGGGGCTCAAGTAGAGGATAATTCTGGCATGTGGATGGCACTGGTTTGATCCCTGGCACCCCGCTGGCCCCTAAGCAGCACAGGGAAAGTCCTTGTAGACTTGTAGCACTGCTGGGACCCCAGGACTGCTAGGTGTAGTCCCGACAAAGATGACTACAAATAAGCACTGTAGCAGCATTCTCATCAGAGGTCCACTTCCTTCTTTTGTATTAAATAACCCTACATAGTTTAGGAATACCTGATTAAAAAAAAAGATTAGAAGTGAGTCTATTTCTGTCTTCAAGTAACTATCTATAGTCAAGTCACATTGCTCTCTTATGCTAATATTCAGTAATTAATACCAGTACATATAGTGCTTTTTTTATAAAATTATTTTAGTACCTTTTAAGTGTCAAAGAATATTACTTTAATAGCTATTATAAAATAATAGAGTGATAGCACAGCGGGTAGGGTGTTTGCCTTGCATGCGACTGACCTAGGTTTGATTCCTCTGTCCCTCTTGGAGAGCCCAGCTAGCGAGAGTATCCTGCCTGCACGGCAGAGCCTGGCAAGCTCCCCATGGCATATTCATTAAGCCGAAAAACAGTAACAAGTCTCACAATAGAGATGTTACTGGTGCCCACTCGAGCAAATTGATGAACATATCATTTGAAAATGTTTGAAAAAATTTTTTTAATATTGGCTTCATTACTTGTGATACTACAGTGAGCACTGGTAGCTAAAAAATTGGGCATTTATGTATCCTGAAGTTCTCAACTTACCATCTTCTGGTCCAGAGAAAAAAGGAATCTGTTCTTTGCTGTATGGAAGGACAGTCCCAGTGTTGTGACCTGCACATTTCTGAGGGAGGGAGACACACTGTTAAGATTATTTATGATTTAGCATCAACTCAAAGATGGATTTACAGTTTTTTTCCTTACCCATCCCTATAATCTATCTATAAATAGCTGATGAGGCATCCTAGAGAATTGAAGTTGAAGGATACAGGTCAGAGGAAGGGAACAGGTTAAACATTATATGCACAACAATAGAAAATAGTTCGTCAGACACTCCTGTTCTCAAGTTGTTTTTACTGGCCTCCAAGGGAAACCCTATTGTCTTCTAGTTATCTGGCTTTCTGATCTTTCTTTTATCCTTTTGCTCTTATCTTTAATTTTTTTCCCACTCTGCTGTGTATTCTGTGCCCCCCAAAGAATATGAAAAAGATAAAATATAAGATAAAAAGGATAAAAGCAAGATAAAGTATTTTTCCTGATTTCATAGAAATTAATTTCATGCTGTATTGTTAGGATAAAATTTCTCTCATCTCTTGCTTTTCATAATTTAGCAAAATCTTTTCTTAATGAAGATCAGCTCTTTGGAAAAGACCAGTACTTGCAGTTTAGTACATATAGAAGTGTACTACCTCTGATATTTGCGTTTGGTTTCATAAGTGCCCAGTTAGATTATTTAAAATGAAAAATCATTTATGAATGTATACGAAAAACTGCTGTTGACGTAGCAGCCATTTAACCAGGATCAGCATGTGAATCTGCAAGATTTATCTTGTCAGAAACTGCTGAAAGTTGCTTTTCACTTATTTCTTATTCCTTTAGGCACTTAATTGGCATTGCAAATTGCGATACTTTGTTGAAACAATCATTAAACATTTTTTCAATGATAGTAATTTAACATAAAGTTGTGTTTATGAATTTAACAAATAAATGTTGAACACCTTCTCTGTGCTACTTCCGAGGAATAGCACCATGCTAGTCCCTGTGCTATTCTCTGTGCTATTCCTAGAAATTCCAGTGGTGGGCCTGTGGTAGGGAAACCAGGATGGAGTCTGAGCCAGTGCCCCTGACAGAAGGATGTTTTCCATTAGTAGTCACGAGATTGAACTTAGAAAAGCAGTTCTCCTGAGGCCTCTATATTTTTCAGATGTGAACGTTGTATGCATTTATGTAGCTGATGGCGTCTCAAAAATTGGCTCTGCCTGATATGTTGAAGAAATTCTGTACTAGATGATGATCTCGCTTGGTGAAGTTCTGTACTTTAATGGAACTAATTTTTCTTTTTTTTTCTTTTTTTTCTTTTTGCTTTTTGGGTCATACCTGGCGATGCTCAGGGGTTACTCCTGGCTCTGCACTCAGGAATTACTCCTGGTGGTGCTCAGGGGACCATATGGGATGCTAGGCTTTAAACCCGGGTCAGCCGCATGCAAAGCAAACGCCCTGCCCGCTGTGCTATCGCTCCAGCCCCCTAAATTTTCTTTTTAAATTAATTTAAACATAAATGTCATAAAATCACATTTCCTGGAGTTTTATAGCATTTTCTCAGACTTGGGTCCAGATATATATCGCTTTTTCCTGATGTTAAATTTAAAAGTTTGTTTTGAGTAGTTATTTTATAATAGTTACTTTGGCAAACTTATTCTATAGAAATATAGCTATATAATACTATTATTAATATAGAAATACAACTAAAAGAAACGTCAATCCCTAACTTTGTATCTCTAATTCACTCTGAGAGTGAAATGAAAGAATTCCATAGAAGTTTGGCTAAATAAGTCAAAACCTTATGACATTTTCTCTTGCTAAACAACTTAGCAATTGTTAGGTACAATGAAATAAAATACCTTTTTTACCTGATTAGAAAAGTCATCATATTTTAGCCATTTCCCACGAGAACATTATGCCATCACTCAACCATCACTTTGACTCCCTATATACATAATACACACATACAGACACATGAGACCATTAATAAGGGACATTAATCTTCCACTTCAATTAATTAAAATCAATTCATTCATTCATTCAACAAATATTTATTAAGCACCTACAATATGCCAGGCACTGTGCTGGGTGCTGGGGATACAACTGTGAATAAGATAGACACAGTTCCTGCCCTCAAGGAGCTTACAGTCTAGTAGTTATACAGACAGTTACACAGGCAATTACAACGCAGTATGGAAGTGCTAAGATGGGGTGAACATTAAAAGGGCACCGAACTTCATCTCATAGGTGGGGTTGATGGAAAGTTTCACAGGGCAGGTAAAATTCAATTAGAATATTCAAGGATGGTAAGGAAGGGTTATAGACTTAAGAAACATTAAATGCCACATCCCATGTGCTGCTTTCAAGAGAGTTTGATGACAGAATGTTTGGATGGGGTAAGAGAGTCTGGAAGAGAAAAGCAAGAGCCAGGTAATAAAGGAGCTCTTTTGCTCTGATGAAGAGTTTGGAATTTTTCCTGAGGGAACTCTCTGTGTGTGTGTGTGTGTGTGTGTGTGTGTGTGTGTGTGTGTGCATGTGCGTGTGTGTATGTGTGTTCTTCCTGTGACACAAAGATTGAATGGGCAGTGAGAATTTTGAGAATTGAAGCAAGGTGACTCCTTCACCTTTCCTGACTTCATTTCCCGTGATGTCACACTCTGTGCTCTCTCTAAACCACTTGGGTGCATACATTCCTTTAATAAGTCATTGATATGCATGGCCATAGCTTTGGGCCACTGCTCAATTCATAAGAATCTTAACGCTTTCTCCACCTTTGAAAACTCAACTTCTCCTTACACAGTCAGCCATCCAAAGTCATCCTAACTTGTGCTTTCTGCCAAGATCTCTAAGTACCTGATGCTCATTTGTACCACAGCATGTATCTGTTACTTCAAATGAACCAATTTTTTGAGCCATGTTCATTTAACCTGTATGTAACATAGGGGGTTTTATAATCATACATAATTAATTTTATTTGCCTACCCCCAAACTATTCTTAGTGCCTTCAAATGGTTTAAATGAAAAAGGGAAGAGTGGAGGAGAAGCCCAAAGAGACACATTATTTTATGCAGCAAAATACAGTCAAGTAAAATTTCAACACACACAATTACAGGGTATGTTACTGAGTGACAATGATTCATCCCCCACGTAAAACATTCCATCTATGACCAATCAACCTTTAGCAGGACCAGCGTCTTCAAAGGAGGGCAGTTCAGTATCCAAAAATAATCAGGGTTAGCTACATTTTGCTAGCAGGAGTTGACGTCCATAGTTCCTCCTATAATCTCATAAATTTCTCAAATAACTTTTATCATAATAAGAAAGAAGTTTGAGCTGTGTAGATATTGTAAGAACATCTGTTATTTTTATTCTTTTCTTTTTGGTGGGTACAAAAACCACAATTTTGTACACAGAACAAGATTATAAATAATACCAATAGCATGAGTGACCCATAATCTCTTTTGATTCTACATCACAGATTTAAGGTTTCATGTCAGCCCTGTCTTCATTTCACTTCTGTTCCTGGTAATGAGACAAATATAATCTGCAACACTGGGGATGCGTGTGACATAGTGAAGGTTACAGCAAACAAAGATGACCAACAACCTTTATAAAAAAAATTCCCTAAAGTTTATTACAGTGATGGCATTTATATCAATTATTGCAATGTATTGTTCCCTAAGATGGTTAGAAAAAAGAATTGTGTTGTCTTCTACTGATTTTATGTCAGTTAAAAAGCAAGCATGTTTCAGTATTTATTTTCTCCAAAGTAAGTGTAAATACTTCCTTTAATTTTTTTCACAGAATTTACATGTTTATTTATTGTTTGATCACAGTTTAGTGATTTGTTTTCTTAGCTGGATAGCCTTCCACGGAATAGATGGATGTTCTGAAGACATGGGTTAGCATGTTCACTGACTTTTAGAACTACTTTGCCCCTTGGAGCGAAGACGAAGGTTTTTCTGAGCAAGAACTTCACGGTTTGATGCGCTAGCTTGCAAGTCTGATTAGTTTTTAAGTCCACTCAAGTGAAATTTGTTGCTGTTAATACACCCATCGCAGGTCCCACCTCCCCCTCCCCACCCCTGCTTCCCGAAAAACAAAACAAAACAAAACAAAACAAACACCTAAATTGTGAGTTTTCCTGATAGAAAATCTGAGTTTGGGTTTCCGAGCTGAGCTCATGCACGCGCTGCCGGCCAGGCGCATTGGGGTGAACTCCTGCTCTCAGCCCGGGGGTGCGCGGGGCCCACACCCGCCTGCGCGGGGCCCCCCGGGGCTGCGTTTCTTCCAGTCACCGACGCAGTTTAATTAAGGCACTCGATTAATTTTTTGGTTTTCACGGTAGGTCCGATGCAATGACGGCCAATCCGGAACTCTGTCGGATGGCGGTGCCGGCGTGCACAGCCTTGGGGCAGTCGGGCGACAACACGCGGCCGTTCTCGCCCACGCTGCCGGTGATGGACAGGCGGGCCTTGTTTCGTATGGCTTCAGAGAAGGTCAGCTGCGGGCGGGAAGGACAGAGAAGACGCCGTTAGGGGACTGCGTCCGCGCCTGGACCACACAGCAGACACTGAAATATCCATCACTAGACATCTGCATTTTCCCCCAGGTTCTCTGGGGCGTGTGCAAACCATCCCATTACCTAGAAAGGCCCAGGCTAGTGCTCGAGGGGTCGTCTCGGGGAGTGGGGACTCAGTCTGGGGGGCACTAAACGGGGTCTTGTTGGAAGGGATGGGGGGAGGGGCAGCTGTCAATTACGCGGCACTCCAGAACTTAGTGCGCGGTAGGCCAAAAAAAACCAAAACCAAAACCAAACAAAAAGAAAAAACAAAAAACACGCTTCTTGCGGCTGACACCGTTTCTTAGCAAGTTTTGTTTTCTCAGGAAAAACATATACGGTGCCAAGAGGACAACAGTCTTCGAATGAAGAGCCACTGTCTACTCGAGCTGGAGGGAGAGACTATTTTAGGACAAGATCTTCCTGTTTTCGGAACACAGATCTAGCTCTGCACAGACACGTCACTCATTCACAAGGGTTAGAGACAGGACCAGAACGGCACAGTTAGTGACACGGGGGCCTGCGGTATCTGGGGATGCTGCGAGTGCGCGGGCAGGGCCCACGGCAGGACCAGAGCAGCACAATTGGTGGCACCGGGGCCTGCAGTGTCTGGAGACGCTGCGAGTGCCCAAGCAGGGACCCGGGAGGGTACCAGGGTTATCGGACAATGCTCCAGGCAACTACAGACCCAGGTCTCTCACTGTATGAGGTAGCAGGAAATAACATTACACAGGGAAAACTGTTCTTTTATAAACCTAATTAATTTTCATTTGATACATTCAAATTATTTCTAGTAGTGCAATTATCATATTAAGAGGAAACTACAACTCCAAACTCTCTCAACTTGTTCTGTTTTGATCATGATTTTCTTATAACTTATAATATTCTTATAACTTAACTTCCTGTTGTGATTTTAAATTCTTATAACTTAACTTCCTGTTGTGATTTTAAATTGAACTCATGCTAGAAGAAATTCTGCCTGGAATTTAAATATTGTAATAATGGTCTATTAAATACTAAAATTAAAAATTAGGTCAAAGTTGTTGTAAAAGAGATCAGTTAGCCTAGTAAGTTGAAGAAGTTGAAGTCAAAATGCTAATGACATATCTATGATAAATCCAAGGCCATCAGCATAGTTTAACTTAGTGAATAGCACTGTAACACTGTCCTGGTTTTCCATCATTTGCTTGATCGGGCATCAGTAACGTCTCCATTGTGAGACAACTAGTTACTGTTTTTGGCATATTGCATATGCCACGGGGAGCTTGCCAGGCTCTGCCCTGCGGGCGGGATACTCTTGGTAGCTTGCTGAGCTCTCTGAGAGGGACTGAGGAATTGAACCCGGGTTCGCCGCATGCAAGGCAAATGCCCTACCCGCTATGCTATTGCTCCGGCCCAACTTGGTGAATAGTCTAAAAAAATTAATATATTTAAAATTAGAAGTCAGGATACAAAATCTACAGAAACTCAATACTAAATTAAACTCAATACTTAATAAATTAAACTCAATAAATTAAACTCAATAAATTAAACTCAATTAAACTCAATAAATTAAACTCAATACTAAATTAAAACAAACAAAATCAGAGTCTAAATGTATTGCTTCAGATTCCCTTTCAATATGTGATATTAAGTAAATAACTGATTTTTAAAATTATTCTGTTTTGGAGGAGGAAATACTAAAATGCAATTTATAAACACGTTGTGATTTTTTTAACAGCTTTTGCTACACATCTACTTTTGTTTTCCTCGATTCCTTATTGTTTTAGTGAGGAAAGCAAAACATCCCAAGCAATGAAGTCTGTATGCTTGGCCAAGTGGCCTCTCTAGTCTAAAGATCAATCCAACTGTTTATTTGTAAATAAGTCTTTGTCAACTTCCTATTTCCTTTTTAAGTCTTAGGATTCTTAGTTCTCGGCATTTTTTTCCCTATATTTCCATTTCCTGCATCTATAAATGTAATTTTTATTCCTATTGTTAAAACTATTAATTTACATGTGATCTGCGTCTCATTGAACTGCTGTGGCTAATTTTCATGATCTGAATTTTATGTATGCCCTCGAGAAATAATCCCTTTTAAAGAATATATTTTAACATATTTCAAGTTTTGCTTTTGAGTTTCTGGGAAAATAGAATGCAAATTATCAATAATTATGGTTTATAGCACTTTTGAAAGAAAAAAGCTATTTAATATGCAAGTAAATTAAAAATTACTCACTTTCATTTCTTATCTACAGGTGAAGATAATTTAATCCCCCTTGAGTCCTATAATTTTTTTCAAAAGTTTCATAGATATAAAGTTTTGTCTTTATTTTAAATTTATTATCTTAAAAAAGTCAACCTCAGCTCCAAAGATAATTTGTATGATGAACTGCAATGCCAGCTTTTGACTCTGAATTGAATATGTTATTACATGGAACTCGGCATTTCTTTTTAACAGCTTCCTATAACCTTGAAAAGACTTGGCATGATTTCTTTGTAGAAGTTTTCTAATGTTCTTTCTCTTTATCTGTTTCTCTGCCTTGGACCTTGCTGATGGCTAGAATGCCTTTCCTATGCCAAAGAAAGTTGAGTCTTAATGAAACGGTTAAAAAAATGAAATCATCTTATATATTTATATTAGAGTGAAATTCAAATAACTGACTTGGAATGACTTGGCAGTTATTGTTCTCAGTTTGGGAAAATCTTTCCTCAGTTCTGTAAAGATTAAAATCAATGCTGCCTATAAATATCCAAGAAATCTTGACATTATTTTACCTTTTTGCTTTTAAAAGACATGCTCAAAATATTTAGAACTTAGTAAAAAGAAGTTTTTGTTTTTGATTCTTTTCCACAAAACTGGGAAAGCACCACTTTGGGACTATTTATGTGTAGTTATAGTCTGCCACTGACTTCTATATGATGGATTAAAAACAGTAACTTTGGGTGAAAAGAGGTAACTTTGTTCTTGTTGCAAAATACTACAAGTACATCAATAGTTTTTATCTAATTAATGGATATAAAAATCAAGACTATTTTCAGTATAACCTCAAAGGAATGTCTTACTCTGTTTTGTTTGGTTTGGGACCACAACCAACTGTGGCCGGGGCTTACTCCTGGTTCTGTGTTTCGGGGTTATTTTTTGGGAGGATCTGGGGACCACAAGAGGTTTCAGGGATTGAGCCCAGGCCAGCTATGTGCAAAGATATGGCCTTATCTGCTGTACTATCTCTTTAGCCCGTGAACCTCTTTTTCTCACGAAAACTATCCTGGGGTTTTAATTCTAGGAACATCAAGCACTGGACATCTCTGTGAGTGCAAAAGTTCTCTTGCGATTTTCGTCAGAATAAGCTTATTCAGGTGGCTATTACATGTAATTTTAAAAAATGAGTTTTAGAGAGAGACCTGATTTTAGGAAAAGCAATCACAGATGCTTTCAATCTTATTTTAAAAACTACTTTCTACCATTAGAGAAAAAAATAACATTCAGAATCTTAAAAAATGGTCTGCATCTTTTCTGTTTCATTTAATGCTTACTTTTTTGGGTTATACTTTAAGAGAATGTGAGTAAGTGAGGCTGATTTGCCTGACATAAAAGCAATTGAAATGGTGGTGGTGTGGGGGTGAAGGGTAGTGGCAGGTGGTGGAGTTCATGAAAACTCATTGCAATTTTTATCGTTGACTGCATTCCTCTAAAAGGATGTATATTGTTGACATCCTTGAGAGAGATACTCGTGTCCTGCCTAAAATGTCCATTCATCTTAGTGAATGTAAGGGCTGAATTTCATCTAATAGTTGAGAATCACTGTCAGTAGTCTGTCAATCACTCCTGCCTAAAGATCTGGCTCAGGGACTACTACCAAGCAGTGGAAATTCATGCTACAAAAGCAGAGAATATGGTGATATAAAAATAATGAGAAAAGGAAGCTAAAATTTGGTGGATACTTACAACGTGCCCTGGAGCTTTTGCATTTATTGTTTCTCGGAAAACAGTATAACCTTATCCCAAAATAGGCAACCATCTAGGCCTTGATCATAGTGCTTATTTTGTTGGCGCTTATCGTAAAATTAGATCATTCCAGAGAAGATTCATCTGATTTGTGTGTACCAACAAACCCGGCTCTAATGTCCAATTTCCCCCCAATTTTAGACAGACTGAATTACTGAAATCATTTTGCAGAGCAATTCTGGAGATTTGATTTTGTTTTTCTGCCCCTTCCAATGCAGATATCTATTGGCAACATAAAGTTTCGAACAGGACATCTGCAGCCAAAGAAAACCAAACCACTTAGAACTAAAGTTTCCAAAAATAGAAAGCTCTAACGAGAAGCAAGCAGGACCACCACTGACAGACAGCTCACAACACGGGCGGGACGGGACGCAGCACCCACTCACTGTAGTAGGCCCTAAGTCCTACCCCTAAATTTTAATACTTTCGGTTCCATATACGTTGTAACCTTCTCTATAGGTTGCTAAATTCTGGGTATTCTGCGAGGAAGTTGGGTTAAAAGTCTGTGCACTCTTTGCCACCTTCATTCTCTTCGCTTCTGCCCTGGACTTGTAACAGAACTCTATCAAAGCCACCAGCATTGCCAAGCCCAAGCCGCCAACCAGAATGTAGAAGACGCCTGCCACGTTGCTGAGACTCAAGGCGCTCGTCTTGTCCTGGGGGAGGGATAAAGACACGAGAGTTAACGGTGGAAGTGGAGCATCCAGAAGGTAAAACATGTAATTCAAACAGCTAATTCAAGCAAGTGCTTAATTTAACTCAAAATTATATAGATGTGTAAATCACTGATGTAGGCTTATAGATTTAAACGTAAGCCTGATAGCTCTCAGGAGAAATGAAATTAGGATGATTACCAATAAATTGCATATAATTATGCTCAATAAAATCTGTAACGTTTCATCATTATTAAGTATGTAATAAAACCACTATCCTTAGCCATATATAAGCGTCTACATATTTACGTAGGATGACAGAATTGGGATTGCTCTTGTTGAATTTGAAAATGACAACTTTAAAACACAGTGAAATGAGAAGGGCTCTCCTTCCACTCAAACTTAAGTTTTGGAAACTTTTTCTGAATAAATATCTTTACATTTTTTACATTTCCTATTTAAGGGGCAAAGGGTCTTTAAGATAAGAATTTCACATTTCACTTTACCAAACACATGCAAATAATGCTCAGCAGACCTCACCTGGTCTTTCAACTTATATATGTAAGGGAAATCTGGGAAGTGTTAGATTTACAAGTTATAGACTATTTAAGAATAATTATTATTGTATCCTATTTAGGTGGCACTCTTAAAGGTAACTTATAATATACAAATTACCTTCATCAACTGAGAAACAAGTTATTTAAATAGGGACGAATTTACAAATAATTTTACTGATTTAAAAACATGAGTCCATTCCCACTTAAAAGTGCTCAGACAATATTCTGAACATGATTCCCCAGAGATTTGGTACTCATAATAGATTAAGAAAAAGCTGAAAAAATGATAGGAAATTTAGATTATACCAAGGATCCAGAATTTCTCATAATTTATAAATGTGTATATTATATAACATTATTTGAAAAGTTATTTTGGGTAGCTACCTGAAGAATGCCCTATGGCCTCCTCAGCAATCTGTTTTGTGTAAAATATGATTAAGGCATGCAAATAATTTTATTAGGAGCAAGTCCAATTCAAAAGATGTACATTGTACACACAGGACAATCAACTGACAAAATGTTTAGTAGATTCAATTAAAAATTAATCACTGTTTAAGTATTAGGCTTCTCTGACTTTACAAAAGAATTTGAAATAATTGTTTCATTATTTAGACAAGTTGGTACATTCCACTCTGGTTCAAAGGCAGGAAAAAAATTAATCAAACAGTAGGGATTAGTCCTGAAAAGGGCTCAATGAACATTTCTTCTTTCACAAATTAATTGCTATCATTCTATTTGAATCAGTTACTTGATTAATGTCTTAGGATAACCAATGTATTTGTTTCTTTCTAAAAGAGGATCCCAAGGATCCTCAAACATGTTCTTAGGAACTATTTCTACATTCTATTTATCTGCATAGGTACACTAATAAACTATTATATATTTAAAAAATAAAATTATTACTATTTTATTACTGGATTACTTTCATTTGTATTGAACAGAGCCAGGCCTAAAGCTTCCTATCTTTGTCCTTAAAAGAATGAATGCTATCTTATAATTTGAGGATATTATTCATATACATTGATTTATTATCATAATTTTGAAATTACAGAACAGGAAGTTTTACTTCATCTTTTGGAGAAGAAGTGTATTAAACTAAAGTGGAACGCCTGGCATTGTACTGACAAAAGTTTCAACCTTAGTATCATTGCATGCTATTTAGAATATTTTTCTGGATAATTACTGTTGAATTCCCCACATTTTCTGACTGAGGATATCTCAGGTATAAAGATTTTCATGGTCTTTGCCTCCAAAATAAAGAAGACCTTCATCAAAACCCTACTTTTGTTAGTGGTACGTAAATTTGAGAATTATACAAGGG